ACTCAAAAAGTTCGCGCCTCCACTGCCTGTCACAATATCTGAATATCATAATTCATAATAGAGATATCGAACTATCAAACAAGTATACTAGACTGTGGTTGATGGTGGATTGGGAGTCTATTAATTCTCATCTAACCTAAAATTATTTTTTCATACATTAAATAAAGTATAAATTATAATGAATTTTATTTATGGAATTACTAATAGGTACTATAAAAGGTTTTTTTCACTTGTCTCTCACCCCGGACGACAATTACAGGACATGTTCGTACACTATGGACTATGGTATTGGTATATCGTATTCGTATATATATAAGTATATAGCCTGTTACTCATTTATACAAATCTTACGTTCTAATGGAAATTACTCAATTTCCTGGCCTCTCTTTAACGGCGTCTTGTACATGTTTTGTAATTTACCAAGAACAACGCCTTCTACCATTTAGGTGTACCTGTAAAAACACCACGTTAAAATTAAATATAATCGCTTATGTGCATACAGAGTGATTCAACAAGCTATGTCAAGCATAGTAACTTAAATTAGGCCATTTAAATTCTGTTTTTTTGGAATACTTGCAGAGGTCCATATTTTTAAATATTTGTATTTTCTATACCATTTAAGAAGTGTTCTGTAGTGACTCAAACTTATTTTGTTATTTTCAAAGGATTATTGAATGTTTATTATAAATCGTTAAACAAATGGTCATTTTTGAAATGTGCATAATATAGTAGGTGCACAGGAATTATAATGGTTCTGGCTTCATATATACTACCCACAAATGAAATCTTTAACTGCAGCGAATTACAAACGTGGGATTTATCTTATATGTAGGTACACAGCTATAGCAGCCTTATATAGGTATACCAGATACACATGCATAATATTATAGTATATACAATTTTTGGTTTGTGATTTTTTTCTACGAATATGATACGACTGATACGAGCAATTTTTAAACAACTCAAGTCAAACTACGTGTTTCTTTTTTAGTTATAAGCTTATATTATACAATCAGTCATCAGAATTACATACACATTCCGATTACAATATTTCATACACATGATTCATGCTTCAATGTTTGACATTGATGGATGAATTTCGATAAACATTGTAGGTGCATATTATTATAGCCAGTATAGTATATAAGTATATTTTATACTAAAATTTAACAAATTCGTTTGTTGTCATACTGTATTATATAGTATAATTATTAATTATATAATATAGTTTATATAATTATACATAGATGTTTAATACTATATAATTCAATATAATATAATATCTAGAAATTGTTAAAAACTAAAGTATTTAGATTTACAACTTTATGTATTTTTATAACCGACTTAGTGCCCACTCTAAAATACTTATATCATATGAAATATTTATTTTTACATTTAACTATTTATAATTTATATATAACTACTAACTAGTAATAAGTATCTTGGCTATTGGCTATTGCCATTGAATATACTACAGTATATTTTATAATCAATGCTATTACTTTGATAAATTGCCTAAATCTATAACCCATTACACAACAACGCTAATAATTACAATGTACAATTGAAAAGTGGGGACTGAAGAGTGAAGCGACAAGATGCAATGACGGTTGCATGCTGTTGCAGGTACCTAAGTATTTAATTTCAATGAATACAAATTTGTGTAGGTAATTTGTGACCTTGAGAGTGCAATTTAATAATTTATTAGGCATAACTGCATAAGACTGCATTTCCTATAGAGTTAAAAATATGTAGGTTTTTTTGACGTCATCCGAGGACGATATCTGTTTAGTGTGAAGTGTGTACCTACTAATAATGATACCTAATTTATTAAATATGCACTACTGCACATGCGTCTATGCACTAATATATTATATTATACAGTTACTCCCTAGAAAAGACAAACAGCCGATACTGTGACAGCGTACCGCGCAGTCCATACAGCGTATATTCAAGTATTCAACTATAACGAACTTTGCAGCGTTGGGTAAGTTTTTATTAAACATTTATTATATGAAGTTAAAAGTTTTTTTTATTCACGCATGTTTCTGAAGTTAATTTGAATATTTTTAAACAGATAGGTACATGAAATAAATAATAATATGCTATATTGTTTTTTAAGAAACTTAGGTATACTTATCAGTTATCATATATATTATACTACATACTCAAGTAAATTAGGTACTATTGTTGTCAGTCGTCCTTTTAATCGATCAATAATATGGTTTAAATTACATACATTAGCTGAAATAGGTTTTTTTTTATTATTCCCAAGTATTCCAAATGTCTTTATTTATTATAAATTAAGTACCGAAAATAATATATAAGACATAAAATGAGTAAGGAATTTGCCTTTGGGTTATTATATATTTATATGTAAAACCTCTAAAATGTAAACAATTATATAGGTATTAACATCACTCTGCACATTTCATAATGAGAATGTTTTCATGGGCATCCGTGTAAAATAATCCATTCATGACTACTTTATTCTACATTTCTACTTCTTATTATAATTTTAGAGTATTGTCGTTTGTTTATTAAATTGTAATTATTAATTAATTTAGGTGTTCTGTGTATACTGTACATATTAAGTACTAACTTAATATAAGTTTCAAGAAGAAAAAATAAGTTCTATCCATAGGGTTATGAATTTTGAATATTATTTAAAAATAGGCTGTTTAATGTTGTACATTATTACACGGATATGTGAATTATTTATGTATATTTTTTTAAATGTTTTATTATTATTTATATATTAATTGTTGTGCTGTTTTAATTTAATATGCTGATGAGTAACATACGTTTTGCTGCTGTAAATTGTTCTTTGTAAATGGAGTTTACTCCGTATGAAATAAACAACTAAATATTATGGTTAACACAACATGTTAAGGACGTCACACCCGCATGTGTTGTCTCCTTCTTTGTACGTTCTGGATAATCAATTTAACTCTGTTATGATTAATATTGGAGCCAATTGACATATTATTAAATTTAGAAATAAGAATATTATATAGTGAACTCGTTGAGCTTTTTTTTATATTTTAATCTTAAAACAGGTTATGAATATCTACATTGTATATTGTTTGTGCCAAACGTCACAAAATTAAATTCACTGTTAACAAAAACAATTTATATGATGGGGTTGTGTACCTACTGATTTGTCATTCTTATTGATTATCAATGCTTACTGACAATTTAAAATATACATTTATTTATAGTAGATTGTAGGTAAAGTTTATAATGAATAGTAAAATGTGCATGAACACAATATTATAAATCATAATGTGCCTATAGGCACCTAAAGATTATATAAGTGGACGAAGGTAAAGAAAAAACGATGATAATCTTAAAGGAATTATAATGTTCCCACTATGGAAATACAAATATGTACCTCTACTTTGAGTCTTTACCTACCTTCACAAGAAATTCGCTATCACACTTCTATAATGCGGTAGGCCGGTGGTTCGGATTAGAAAACAATTGTTCACCATAATATACGCACCCACCCAATGAGTGGGTGCACTTTGCATTATAGTTTACACAGATAATGGAATACCATAGAAAAGTAATATTGTAAAGTTCGATCAGCGGTGTGCATCACGTGTCTTCTATAATCGTAATCTACACGTATCGTGGAGTCGTGTGCGCCTCATACTATACGCTCAGCGCACCACAAAAGGGTTGCTCGGCCGATCGGCGATCACACGGGTATTATTCATATTTTTTATCAACTGTATTCAGTAAAATAATACACCCTCGCTCCCGCCTGGAGTGTGTAGTGATTGGGGACTGGGGAGAGTGTCAGTTCCGACTAAATCTGCTATATACGCGTTCATAAGCACAAAATTTAGCTTGCAATTTTTTCTTTTTTTTGGGTGGGGGTGGATAAAGCCCTATAAAACTATTGATAAGCATAAAAAAAAATTAGGACTATGCTTAGCCCCCCCCCCCATTTGCTTAGGATACATGCTATCATATGAAATTATCGTAAATCTTTAACGTGATCTGTATACGGCGTGTGACACTAAACGCATGGATTTTTATAGTAATAATTATATTATATTTTATTTCTTTGTCCAGACACATTTTTAAATGGGTGTAGTCGTGTGTATACTATAGCCTATAAGCATATTACTATCGTCACGATGATTCTACTATATTTTAAGTGTTTTTTTGCCGATCGCCGGATACCCTATATTTGCGAGAGTTCTGCAGTAAGCAAATATAATGTTATATTGTGCATATTTTGCAGTTAATAACGATTAAGTATGTACAAATTCGCAGAGTATGTAGGTGTTTTTAAGCATGTTATATTCGATAACATTTAAAAAATACAAATACGAGTTTACGAGAATTCGTGTATGTAAATAATATTAGAATCGATGAGCAAAACAAAACTTTGAGCCTTCCAATATAATATGCAATGGTTAAAATTTTGAAGTATAGAATATAATATATTATTGAAAATAATACATTATATTGCACCATTAATACAGAAAATTGCGCTTCGTAAATTAATTCATATAAGTAAATAAGTCTGAAGAAAGAAATACTGTACGTTTTTCAATATAAATTAAAATTATAATTTATAATTAGTAAATATTACCCGTTAGGTGTATATTATGTTATAGTATAATAACAATAACAACTTCCATCAATATCTAATTTAAAATTAAATTTATCTTGCAATATTTGTCGCATAGTGGTCAACATTCAAAGCATGTTTCACATTGTTTACAATTATAAAATTAATCATATTCATTCGAATTAAATCATTCACAGAGGCAAAACATGGTTAGACAAATAAAAAAAAAATCACCTTCCCCTCATAAAATTAATTCTATTAGCAGTAATAAATCTCAGTACTCAAAATACATTACAAATAAAAGCTTTACATTTTCTTCGAAAACCAAACTTAAAACAAATTTTTGGTGTAGAATAGTTAACAATGAAATAATTTTCAATAAAATGTACAAGATACTTAAACATAGTTAATAACTTATAAAATATAAAGACACAACAAAATACAACTTATAATACTTTGTATTTTAAATCAATATTTCTATTTTTAATATTTGAAAATAAATCTATGACTATGTCAATAAATGTTGGGTCAATGATTAATTCGTCCAACATTTTTTTCTCAATAGCCAAAGTACACAAATTTGTTAACTGATCATGAGTCATGGTATTCCTTAAGAATGTCTTTATTCGTTTTAATGCACTATTATTCTTTTCACTTGAAACAGTTGTGACAGGAATGCATAATATCAAATGTAACAATTTGGTCAATTCTTTGTACACCTCTCTTAAATCAGCTGAAAAATGAATAATTATTTGATTAATTGTGGGTATAATCAGACACAAAAAAAATATTTTTATTTTTATTGAGGGGTGGGGGTGGTTTAGACTATACATATTCATGTACAACCTTTTCCCCCTCTGATGAAGAAACTAAGGAAAAGACTAACAGTTCTAATGTTATCCGGTGCAGTTAATAAATCTTTTTTTATTTTTTTGACACCAAAGTTTAATAATGATTGATTAGAATTATTTATCTTTATTTTTAAAAAAGTTTTACAGCGCACTGACACATAAGACATTAAGACATAACCAAGCGAATACCAATTAAGTCGTAAAGTTGAAGACGAGTGTCAAACATGTACTAAATTGACAAAAGAAATTGCCGTTATCGCATCGGCACTTTCGTCGAAATGTGTCATCGTTGCTATTTTAATAAAAATAATATCTTGTCTAGATAATGTTATGTTTCGTATAATATCTAAATTTATTTACATATTGCAGTCCACTATTGTCGATTATTAATCGGTCGCCGACAAAACGTAGTCTGATCGAGCACTAAACGAGAATGTAATTCATATCCCTCCCCTCCCCTCACTAGTGTAAGGGCATGCCCTTATGGTTTAATATATTATAATTTATGGTTAATTGTTAATAATTGAAATTGTAAAAATGTTTACAAACCTTTAATAATATAATTCAACAATTCCTTGGGTGGAAGATATTTACTACGGTTATTGAAAATAATTGTTAATTCGTTTTTTAGCCTTTCTTGATCAAAAACACCGGGGAAAATGTTTTCAAGTTGCAGTAGCTTTTCAACAGGAAAACAAATTTTATAATCCTTGAATGCCTTATTATCTGTTATTTCTAGAAATTGAAGAATGTCAAAATCTTGAAATCGAACATTAGTTTGTGTTATAATTGAATCTAATATTTCGTATGTTAAATATTTTAAGTTCTGAACATCTTTGTCTGAGTACTGAAGTTCACTATTCAATTCTACTGCAGATTTACTACACATTACAACTGTTTCTTCATTTCTCATAAACGTTAACTGCGTAGACATATTTATTATTTCTTTTATGCAAGTTTGTACATCTTCTGTACATTTTGTTTGGAGAGTTAAAAATACATGATCCGAAAACATGGATATTTTGTTGAAGAGGCATAATAAATAAACAAACTTAAAATTTGATAATTTGTGTAACAATCCATTGGCCAAACAAATAGACATCGGATCCCAGTCTTCCTCTTCCATAACACATAATGCTATTTTTTTTAATTCTGTAAAATTAGCACTGATTGTAGCTGCTGCTCTAGAATGATTTTCCCACCTAATTTCACATTTTTCAGATTGCTTAAACCACTTTTCTCGCAGAAGTTCGCTTCGTTTTGGTGAAGAACTAAAAAAGGTGTGAAACATTGTTAGGTCACTTATGAATAACCGAACAGCTTTAATTGTTTTCGATCCATGTAGAAAAACCAAATTCAGTTGATGAGCACAACTATGTATAAATATGGCATTAGGGTAAGTGTTTTTAATAAGACCTGGTACGCTTATTACTTTTCCTGCCATAACGGCAGCTCCATCATAGGTTTGACATATAATTTTATTGCCTATATTCCATTTTTGTATTTGTTCTAACAAAATATTTGAAAGTTCTAAAGCAGTTTTATCTATTGAAACGTCAAAAAATCCAATAAATCTTTCTTCGATGTTGTTATCAATTACGTATCTAAAAATAATACTAATTTGCGATTTACACGATACGTCTGTAGTTTCGTCTACTTGAACAGAAACAAATTTTGCTTTATTTAATTCGTTCATAATTTGCATATTTACAACTTCTGTGATACACAATATTAAATCATTTTGAATATCACGAGATGTTCCTTTAAAACTTGAGTTTGACGATAAATAATCCTTAATCAATTGTTCTTCCTGCGATAGTAGATTCAACAGTTCTAAATAATTACCTTTATTTATTGACGTCGCACTTTCATCGTGTCCACATAAGGGAAATTCTTGCTTTCCCAAATAGCATACAACTTGAATTAAACGCGATAATATACGACGGTTATTCCCAACTTGTTCATTAAATTTCAATGCCGCTAAACGCTTTCCTTCTGACGCAATGAGATCAATTTGATTTTGTCCAAGCAACTGAAATTGTTCTTGACAAAGCAAATGTTTTTCAGAAATTGCATGTTTACTTGCTGTACGGTCAAAGTTTTTAACTCCTGTTATACCTTCATTACTCCATTTTTTGTCCCCTCTAAACAGTAAACAAAAATAACAAAATAGTTTATTTTTCGTTTGACTTCCGGTAAGCCAAACATACTTTGAATACCACGAAAACTGAAACTTTCGAATTGTTTTACCGTCCAACACATCCAAATTTAAAAGGGGCGTAGGTCTTTTATTTTTTAACTCTAATTTATGTTCGTAAGAGTAACTCATAATACCATTGGTTATAATGTCGTTGATTAAATCGGTCGACGATTCCATTTTATCAACGTACAATGTATTAATATCATTTATCAGAATAGCAAAAATATTATAACAAAATATTACAATAGTACGGAAAACGACTGTCGACGCCCGAACGGGTGCGGGTTGACGGACAACAAACAACTAAAATGGCTATCGTTTATCGATGTGCGCGAGACATGTCTCATACAAACGTTACGATGCTTATTCTGTAATCTGAAACCCCGCGAACGGCGCACCCGCCATACCGACACACTACCAACTGCAAAACCATGCATGGGAATGAGACACGCGTCGCGGTGTCTCAACAAACCATCCGTCTATATAGAGTTGTTGTACCTGATCTGGTTGTAAGCGAATTTCATATCGGATATTCAATATATTCAATTAACAACTTAAAATAAAATCAGGAATTTTCGATGACATTAAATATTCATATCATAATTGTTAATTTAAAATTAAATATTTTATCAATAATTCTGTATCCGTTTTAAATCAGGATTGAAGGTTAACACTGTCTCATTGCCTCTTATGACATATGACGCTTCGCCAGTTTGTAGTGACCGAATATATTTTGTAATAAAGGTTCTCAGAAACTAGAAAGTCAAAAAAATATAACGCCAGTAGTCAATAATTATATACATATATTTATATACAGTATAGGTTCCGTAATATGTTATATGCTACCTAATACCTATTATATATATTTTGTAAAAGTAATAAATATAACCACAAAAACCTTGCAGTTACCTGTTGATTGTAAAATTACATGTTTACATAGTACACTTATATTTTGTTTGTACCGTGTATTTTTAAACTTCTTACAGGCAACTTTACTATGAAATATTTTTCAATAAACATAATCATATTATATAGGTAGGTATAAAAGAAAAATTTTGAAATAGTGAATTCGTGTTAATTAATTAATACAATAATACTGTGGCAGCTGTGCAACTTCAACAGTAAAATTTAAACGATAATTGTAAATTGTAATTAGGTGTATAATTTATAGGCATAATTGGATTATTCATTAACACGTGCAACAATATTGCAAGACAATACGTAATGTAAAACAAGTTACCTATATTTTTAGAATATACTATGTATAGTATGTACTATTGTCTATTATTATTGTATGAATAGGTATATGTCATATGATACCTATATCAGGAGACGGAATATGTGTACTTTGAAACCCGAGTACAGGAAATATATAGCGTATAATATTTTAATAACTGAATACTGATATTAATATATTATAATATTATATTTTTTGACAGTGGAGAGTGGACACAGGCCAGTGAGTAATCATAAAAACTATTAACTAATAATTATGTGTACGCCAAGGCGACCGTTCAGTTTTATATATGGGCGCAGATGGGTTATAATTAAATACCTACGTCCAAACAGGGATAAGAACATTACTGTATTTATTTTCCATAAACAACTAATAACAAGTCAAACACTCAAATCCAAGAATCAGCCTCTGCAGGATCTCTACTGTCCACTCACTCAGGATGTATGTGTGGGTATGGAGGGGGGAAGGAACTTACAAATTTCCTTACTTTCCCTTACACATAAATTATAAATACACTAACACAATTGACATTGACCACTTATTCGATTTTCATGATATCGACAGTCAACACAATTTGGATCATAATATAATATGATCTAAATATCTAATGTCAACAATTAAAATTATTAATTATTATTATTGTTATAATATTATCGTCGTTTTCAATCAAAGGCAACAATCTACGACCGCCTGACTTATATCTATAATTATATCATGACTATATATACATATATAGTTTATACATTTAAAATTATATTTAAACAAAAAATTGATCGGTGATTGACGATTGTCACAAACCTTATTATGTACAGCGGTTAAGACACCACACCCCCGTGTGTACTATGTTGTCACCGTCTTACGAACATACCAAATTTGCATTCAGCAGTTCCAATTTTATATATTTACCTTTAATAATGTAGAGAATTTGCCCATTATCAAACTTGGACTTATGAATCTCAAACGGTTTCAATTTTCAAAATTGAGTATGTAAACTTTTCAAATGATGTAAGTTTCCAAGTAAATATTTTACTGACATAATATATTATTTTCAAACAAATAAAATGCATAAAAAATATTTTCCTGATTCTTACATTTCGACCAATTATTATTTTTCAGCCAGTTTTCATTTATAATGTACATTATACTAATTTATTATTATACTATGTATACGTATTACAACATGTAATACCTATTATAACATGTGTTTATGGCTTTATGCATTATGCTACATTGCTATAGAGCATTCAAATATTCAATCATCGTGTAAGTATTCGTGTAGTCTTCTATATCATTGAGTAACATTCGAGTGGGTTGTAAGTTGTACCACTTATTATTCTTAAACTATACCTACAGAGTATAGGCCATAGGCGTTACATAGTAATTCCAGTGATCGTTTGACTGTTTTAGGAGGGGAATGCATCAGTGTCTGTTATTCACTAACTGTGTTTAAAACACTCAATTTATGTAATGGTATTTAAAAGTTTAAAACCATTTTAATATTTACTGCCTATATACCGTATGTATGGTGTACTGATATATGTACTGACGTGCTGTATAGACAGTATAGTGTAAAGTGTATACCGTATACGACAAACTGATAAAAAATATCATGTGGTAATTTTCTTAAAAAAAATACACAATATATTATTTACTCATTCTTTGTAAAAAATAAATTATTCGATTTCTTTAAGCACCAGCTTACGATAAGAATATGATGACTGATGAGTAATGAGTGTTGTTGTTGTGGGCTTCAAAGTTCAAACGTTATGAAGCAATTCAAATATTATTTTCAATTAATCATTTTGTGGCAATTGTTTTTAGAGGCCTCAGATAGTTTGTACAATATAAATACCAAGCACGAGCTATATTAGGTCGTAGTTTTAAATTACCTAGAAGTTTCGATTCCAAAAGGGCGTCATTAAAAATCTGAAATTTAACTATAAACTTACGTGTATTATAATTTATAAGTACAGCAAAGTTGCTCGTGGCAATATACTTTTTCGTATTTATAGTTTAAATTAGATCTGACAGTTAAAATTAGATCTGATAGTTATTGCCTAATCAAATTATATTAATAAAATATATTATGCAGTTTAATATTAAAAATTATAACGCATAACTACTATCAGTTATTACTTAGAATAAATACGTATTGTACTATGTATCAGTATTAAAAATCATTTTGAAAGTTATAACTTGTAAGTTACAAAACATAATTTAAATTAATAATTTTAAAATATTTTTCAACTACCAATATCCATTATGTGACAAAATAGAAATACATAACTATAAAAATATATTTAAGGACTTCAATAATTCAAAAAATAACAACTGCTCTTAAAAATGTGAAACATGTAGCAATTGCCACATTGTCTGTAAATTATGCACGCATTTCTTTGAGCCATTTCGAAAATGTGTAAAACAAAATTAATGTGGTGACGTATTGATGTCTTGTACTCAGTATATTATATATTTTGTAATCATACATTAAAGTGTAATTAGTTCAATTTAATAATAAACGTGTTACCTACATAGGCATTATATATTATTTATAAATGTTATATCATGTAGGTATTGTATTTGTGTATAAGTACAGTATCTATAAGCTCGTGTACAGTTTCAAAAATATCTGATTATTACTACCTGTACAGTATACCCATATTTATCACAGCTGCTAATTAACAGTGTTTGTAATATTTTTCAAACAGTATTTCGTGATTGTATTAAATATAATGGATAAGAGTTATGGAAAAAGAGTCATGTCAAATAGCTTCATACAAGTTGAAGGTACAATGGAATTATTTTGAATTTCAAATATCGCACGTTTCCAATTCCAATACACGTGGAAATGTGGAATATAATAATATTTATTATACTATTATGTACCTTTATTAAAGCTACGTACTATACAACATGTAGTATGTACTATAAACACGCTGCAGATAACTAATATACATTTTATGCTGGCATCGAGATTCGAGACGACTGGGTTTATATCTACATATAATTATATATACATATTCCAGTCGAAATTCCAGTGCTACGAGTACCTCTACGTGATGATTCCAGAGTGTAAAACCGACATCAAACGAACCGGTCCTGTACTCCTGTCTGTGGCAATGGGACACTGCAGCGTGTACATGGTGTATAATATATAGGCATACAACTATATACAGTGTGATAAGTGGAAAGGAATGCAGACCACAAACGTGACCTCCTCCGCGGGTTAACAGTTTTTAGATTTGTATTATACGTGGTACGTGGTGGGTCTGGTCTCAGGTATATGCCTATAGTGCCTACAACAGACTGTCTACTTATATATTTACGTTGTATGGTACACCTACCTACCAATATGGTATAGATGCACATGCACGCACGCACGCACGACTAGAAGCAGCTGAGGAGTTAGGAATGCAGTTTTTATACGTCTGTGGTGGCGTATATTGAAAATAATAATATAATATAATATAATATGTTTATGCTGTTAAAAAGTATTCTAAAAGGGTATTTTTGACTTAATCTCCTGCAGGAAAATTCCCGATGTCTTTTGTATCTGTATAATATAGTATGTATAACTGCAGGTTTATGGTTTGCGCAAAAAATAATGCTCCCCTTATTATAACAGAAATATTCTCTCGAAGAATAGAAAACGGGAACTTGGTTGTTTACAATAGTATTGCGGGTATATCAATATAATATAATATACAATAATATATAATACATAACATTGTCAACCACGGCTCTTACAGTAGCCAGTAGGTATTATATTTGGGTCAGTTGGGAATGTTTTTCCATTCTTGGTGTTTTTTATAGTTAGTTAGAATCACTCACAGATACAGATACGAGAATATGAGATTGGACTACAGAAAACATGTAGTGCAATACAAACAATATTATAGAAGATAGAACATACTTACTATGTCTTTATTAATTTCTTATATATATTAAAATATTACGATAATTTACTGTTGTTCCAAAAACCTAATATTTGACTATCATTAATCAGTCTTCTTCTTATCATGTCCTCGACAAAATAATCAGTAAAAATAAATATTATGATAGAAACTGATTATTTATCTATTTATCTAACTAGACATTGTTACATATAGACTCATCAGTCATTACTCATTACTCGTGTAGCCAATGGTTTATCCAGGTGGACTAGAGGGCTTCAGCCCCCTCTGTTGACCTTGCTTTGGTATAAATATAACTATTTCATATAATAAAAAGCAAAGTACAAATCATTGTATTTTTGAAAACAGTTTTGAAGAATCATTTTCCGGTATTGTCAGTTATTTGTATAGGCTAGCATGGTTAAGGGATACATATATATATCATATTTTTATTTATTTTGTTTGGCCCATCACCCCTCATTGAAAAATCCTAAGTACACCAATGCATGTAGCCATAAAAAGTGATATTCGCTATATTAGTGAGTAGTGACTATTATAGTTATTATATAGAGTAGGTACCTTATGCATCTAGTATGCTCAGTGCTAACTCCCATTTTTTTTCCTTTGATAATGAATTTATTCGAATTCTGACTAATAGAATTTATG